TTGATGGCTTTTGGTGAAAAATTTGTAACTTTTTATGGATTTTTGGCACCATTTCGTGGGTGTTGATTGAGATTTATATATAGACGTCTCATGATCAACACAAATTACATTATAAAAACCATTATTGAAATCATTTGAAATTACATTCCATTCCAAAATAGAAAAAGATAAAATTCTTTTCATTCATATTCAAATTCCTCATTGGATTCTTGAAGTTTTGGTAAAAAATACTAAGTGTTTAAATGTTTTTCTATCACAAGACTTGATAAATTCTACAAGTCATTTGCAAAAAAACCCTTTAAGCACCAAATTTCAATATGTGAGGGGACAAATATCAATAACGATATAATTTTCATGTTTATGCCTTTTGATTCTTCTCTGATGATCATGATTATTTGTTTCTAGTTTCTTTTCCAACCCCTTCGAGTGGAAGAGCAATATATTTGTTTACCTTAACTAAAAGTCATCTTGTGTCATGATTATTTGTTTCTGGTTTACAAATTAAAAAGAAAAAGGCTAAATGTACAGCCTTTTTACATAGTAAATTTGACAGTTCTCACATCGGTGTCGCGGGCCCCACCCCCACGTGAGAAGGCTATCAAAATGTACGTGTAAAAAGACTGTGGGGGTGTTTGTTTTTTATTTGAGAATTGATTCTCATTTTCAATCACGCATTCTTCAATAAAATAATATTTTCCATCACATCAATAATTTTTTCTTTTTTTTCAATCACACATTTCCCATCATATCACTATTCAAAAATCAATTTTTCCCCCAAAAATTCCTACCAAACAAGCTCGGTAAGTGTAGCATTTTTCAATTAAAAATGTGCTGGTACCTTGAACCTTGGATTAACGTACAATGGGATGGGTATAATTCATTTAACAAGGTTGTCTTAATTGGTCTCGTGATGTGCCCTCTTGCAGTTGCCAGATTTGTCTGGAATTTGTATAGATTTTTAAAAATAAAATAAAACAGGCATATTCAGAGATTCTCTGTTTCTTGTCTAAATAGAAAATTTTCATTCTTTAACCATTCTTTGGATTCCTAATTTCATCTGTATTTCCAACCCAAGGCCAAAGATTGATGATTAATATTAGGTAAAAACTGTGCTTCTATGAAAATTTTCACCATTGTTTCCACAAAAAAATATAAAAAAAACATTTTAGGGAGAATTATGGGCGACTCCCAAATCTTCACGTGATAGTGATTATGAGTACTCAACCTTCAAATATAAAATTTAAAACCGTTTATACGGCTTTCATATAACTTAAAATAGATGACAAAATCATTAAATCAACAAGGATGCTTTTCGTTGCGAATATGGAATTTACGTGGAAAGAAAATAAATTTTAAGTAATTCAATTGTTTAGTTATATGAAAATTGTTAATTAAATGCGTTTAATTGCTTTAGCTTTCAATTTAAAAAATATTATAATTGTTCATTTTTTTTTTTTAATAACCGTGGATGTCCGGGCCAGCTTGCACACACCTCGACTAATTCCACGGGGCCCTGAAGTTTACGGTCGGGTACTCACCTCAATAATCTTGAAAGGACTCGAACTGATGATCATTGGGGAGCAAACCTTCATTTTTTATTAATTGGTAGATGTGAGAGAGAGAGAGAGAGAGAGAGAGAGTTAATTGTCTGGAAAATAATAATCAACCCTCCTTAAGGAAAATGTTATCCTTATTTTTGAAGAAAATATGGT